CCGACCGCCCGGCCTGCTGGGCCACCATTTGCCACAAGTGCAGATGGTCTGTACTTTCGGTTATATTGCACCAACTGAGAAACCTTTCAAGCTCTGCGCCTTTTTTTCCGTTTTGATTTTGCTAAAATGGAGAATCCAGTTTCAAGCCTTCCCTCTGGGGCCCACCCACCTATCACAGCTCGGCCCCTCCAGTCCTGCTATAGATACAGTACACACAGTCTTGCAACTAAGTAACAGCTCTGAGGTCTAAATCACCATTTTCAATAAATCTTTACCTACAAATATGGAACAATCTCTACTATAGCTGTACAAAAAAAAGTCTGCTTTTTTTAAACCACAAGGCCTTTCGATGCAAGGATTCTTTTAAAATTTTAATCCTTCGAAACCAGGACGTTAACGTACCATACTCGCATGCTAAAAAAAACAGAGGCAAAGGAAATTAAAAGGGAAGAAGTGCTGAAAGTCTCACTGAAAAACAGCAAGAATGTCCCCTTTTCACTGTACAAAAATACGCCCGAAAATATATTAATTTTTAAAAAAGACTGAGGTCTGTTATGTATCAAAAATGTTTCAATACCTTTTGTACTGAGGTCTAGGCTGTCTGGTATTCAATCAAGGAGGTATTGGGAACGAGTTACAAAAAAAAGGTTGGCAAGTAGAAATCACATTTGTAAAACCATAAACAATTTGATCTGAAAAGTAAACGCTGATCTGGTCAGTTCACAGTTGTTTTTTACGCGTTTGTACAGTCTGTGTTTTTTCAAGCTCCCTGCAGTATTGTTAAGGATCGGATGCATAGAAGACATCAGTTTTCTCCCTCCACAAAATAAAATAAAATAAAGCTGCGGTGGTCCCTTTCTTTGTTTCCGTGTTTGTCAAAAACAGATTCGCCAGTCCTTTACGATCGCTTAAGGGAAAAATAAAAAAAATCTCCAACCAACTCCCTCGTGTAACAGCTGCAGCCCAAAGGGGTCCTTCCTCTCCGCGGACGTGCTCCCGACTTCAAAGCCCGACGCGCTCCCCACTGCGCCTTCCGGAGCGGCCTCCCCTCCCCCGCCCGGCCCCGCCTTTGTCGCCATCACGAATCTCAGGAAAAGTCATTACAAAAACACGTTCGGGGATCACAACTCCAGACTAGGTGTGCTACTACCTCGAGACACGAGCAAAGGCGGGGGACAAAGGAGACGGGGGTCCAAACTACTCATTTCCCTCCAACTCCACCGACATCTTCATCAGCTCGCGCCGCGCCTTTGTGTCGCGACATCGGCATCAGCCTCTCCTCGCGCGCGCCCCCCGCCGCGCCCCCCGCCGCCGGCCGCCACCACTTCCTCCCGGGGGGCAGCTGCGCACCCCGAGGCGCCGCGCGGGGCGCCCCGCTCAATACGTGAACACCAGGTCGGAGAAGTTCGCCTCGAGCCAGTCCCCCGCGATCATCTCGCTCAGCTCGGGGGTGCAGTAGTCGGGGAACTCGAAGTGGGAGCCCAAGCTGCCCTCGCTGAACGAGTCCAAGTCCTTATCCACCAGCGACAGGGACAGGTTCCCGGCCGCCGCGCCGCCCCCCAGCTGCTGCTCGCCGGCGCCGGGCGCGCTCTGGGAGAAATTCAGGCTCAGGTCGAACATCAGGTCGTCGGCGTCCTCGCCGCCGCCGCCGCCGCCGCCGGACGACGACGTGGACACGGAGCGCGAGGACGCGGGCGACGGCGCGGGCTGCGCCAGCGGCGGCGGGTGCTGCTTGGTGATGTTCTTGAAGCTGTAGTAGAGGCGGCTGCCGGCGCCCGCGCCCGCGCGCACCTCGTCGTACAGGCTGGCGCCCTCGGGGGACTCGGCCGCGCTGCTCAGCGTGGGGCTGGCGGGCACCTTG